TGAATTTAATTACCTAATACTAACCTAGCAAAAATTAATTATGTTTATGTAAAATACAAACAATAGAGGAGGGCCATGGATTACATGCATGTCTTGTGTTTCTAGGGTTTTCAGAAAAGTGGCAATCACTAAGGGGAGAAGAAAAAAAATCAGGTAGAAAAGAAAAATATCTTATTGATTTGTTCTGCCAAAACCACTATATACATGAAATGATGAAAATGGAGCAGATCTGTAACTAGTATCAAAGTTTCTTTGGTTCAAAAACACACAGAACCCCAGCAATGTGCTTTAAATTAAGTACACATTTAAAAGGTTAACAGGACGATTCCTTAGGCAGAAGAACAAAGAGGAGCTGGTAAAAGAAAATTGGGTACACTACAGCTACTTAAAATACTGTATCCAGGCACAACTCATTTGGATGCCTTTGAGCTCAAAGCTTATTTGAATTATACAGAGGTGTTTTAAAGAACAAAAATACTAACCTGTGTTTTATGTAAGCTTTTTCAGCTGAACTGAGCTACTAATTAAAAATCTTCACTACTCTTCCTAATTTCTGATGTACGTTTTTAACAGAGTAATAAAGCCATCTAAAAAGCTGTGTCCTTCCTCAGAGAGGAGTGTTAACGTTAGAATCTCTGAAATGCCTTGTCATCTCCTGGTTTACTAATAGCATGTTTGTCATCTGCCTTGATTGTACCTTTTGTAGCCAGTCTGAAAATGCTGTGCCATACTGAACACAATTCTGATGCATGTGCCAACTGACAGCACCAAGAGAGTTCACAATCCAGCCAATGCTTACATGTAACAGTACCTCTCAAATAATACATTAAACAGATGTGTACCTGATATTATAAATATGTGACATAAAAATCTATTGGGTTGGTCAGTGTACATATTAAAAAACCATTCAAGTAGGTCAAATTGTGGATAACTTAAAACTTTAAAGACAGCAATTTTAATAAAACTGTCAATACAATTTTCTTTGTAAAAACATTTGACACTGATTATGCTGCTTATATTGAAAGAGAAACACAAGGTCTATATCTTTAGATCTTTTATTGAACTGTGAGCGCAGCATCAATAACTGCTTCTCAGCTGTAAATGAAAATTGATTCCAGATCTAACCCATCGTTTTCTGTGTGTCTTTAATCCCAAATCACCCACAATGAGACGTGAGAATCAGCATTTTGTCTATGGGACAAAGCATGTGTGACATGGCCAGCTCCACAGTGTCTGCACTGGAGGCACTGTGGTTGTGTTTACATGTGGAGGCGCAGGTGGGTAAATGCAGGTGGGTAAATGCAGGTGGGTACATGCAGGTGGGTACATGCAGGTGGGTACATGCAGGTGGGTACATGCAGGTGGGTAAATGCAGCCCCTCACTGCTGCCCCAGAGGGTGGTGACAGGAGTTTGCAGCTGGGGTGCAGTCATTGTAACTTGCCCCATGCTCTACTGCAATGACCTACATGCTCCAAAGCTTTACAGATCTGAAATCTGAGGGCACCCACAATGAACATCTCACTGGGCCTCCTGCAGGTCGCAGCCCAAAGAAATTCACCCAACAACTTCTGCATCAAGCCCACAGCTGCCAGAAGGCTAAAAGGAAAGGAACCTACAAAGTTTCCAAGCAATTTGAAGCAGTTTGGCACTAGGAGGTTGAATTTGCAGTCAGCTCTCAGTTGCTGAAGCTTCTTAAGCCCTGTGGGGTGAAATTAAAGTGTACAGTCTCCTTCATCGTTTTCTTGGTGATATGTTGCTAGGCCATCATCATGTGTGTCTTAAGCAAAATAAACATAACACTTACATTAAGGAGGGTTCTCCAAATCATGTTTATAACTTTTAGGAGCAATTTCTAGTTATTCAAAATTCTGTTTGAAAAGGGAATGCCAAAACTGGGTAGCACAATCAGTAACAGCCTTGCTGATGCTATCTGTAGAATAAATACCTTCCATTGACTTCAAGCTGGTAGTTCCTATCCTATCCAGAAATGAAGCTCAACTTCTCAGTTACAGGACTGACTGGAGCTATTGTGTGGTTGTGCTCCTCCTCAGCAGTGGGGAAAAAAGGAAGGAGATCTGTAACAGCTGAAACAGTGCAAGGCCCACAGACACCTGAGTAAATGCAATACAGCTCATAAATAAGGGTGCTTGTTCATAGGAGTGAGGGAGCAAAACAGAAGAGCTTTGTTTCTTGCAGCCATGTTTCTAACAATCTTCCACCTTGACAAATGGACTACTGCTAGTCTCAGAACACAGGCTGATAGATCAAACTCTCCCCACATTCTACAGATTTTCCCTAAAAGTTGCTTTCCAAGTACAGTTATGGATCAGTGTCATTACTGTCCTGTAAAAATTGAAGGGTCCATAGCAATTCTCAAAGGAGAAATTCTTGGGCCCCCTGCTGACCACAGTTTCAAAGAATTTTGATTTCCTTACAATTAGAGTAGAAATAAAGGAAAGAAACTTGATTTTTATGTATTGTGTTGGGGGTTTTTGAGTCAAAGTGAGTAAATGCCAGCTCATGCTTTGCACTGGTTGCAGACACATAGCAGAAAAAATCACAAAGACGGTAAAGAGAGTGATTCAATTTCCTTATAGAAATGCTGCATAAACTTCTAGAATGGTTTTGAGGTAAGACTTTTAATCTTTTCTCTCCCTGCCAGAATGAGTACATGTGTACACCTGAATAAAAACGGTCACTTGACTGCAAAATATTTATGTTGAAAAAGCCCTTGAAGTTCCTTTTTTGTTGTTTATGTGTCTGACCAGTGGGCTAGATCAACCCTGCTTTCAATTTCCAATCCCTTCTCCTTAAAGAGATGTGGCAGAGGCTGCTGAAGTGTAGTGACTGAGAGATGCAGCAGAGTCCTGCTGCTCAGCATTGCAAGGCCTCAGCCTGACAAAAATATAAAGGCAGACACTTACAGTCATTAATTCAGGAAACCTAAATTCCTGAATGAGGAATGTATAATTCCTGAGTGAGCTGTATAATTTTTTCTACACTCTATTTGTAAAACAAATAGAAGAGATGCAACCATACAAATGTGGGGTACCCAGGAAAGCTGAAGGTTCCCTTGCAGTGCAGGGCATTTAAGAAATGTTCTCAATGTGCAGTTGTGTCCAGTTACTTTATTTGGAATCCCTAAGGATACGGCTCCGTTAATAGGTGACCCCAAATTGGGCAATCAGTGGTGGGCTTGGTAGTGCTCAGTTAAGAGTTGGACTTGATGATCTTAGAAGATACTTTCTAAGTGAAATGATTGTGTCAGAAAAAAAGTTAAAAAAATTTTCTAAGGAGTACCAAATGTAGAGAAACTCCATGAATGGTCCCTGTGGCGCTCTCTTGTTTGTCTGCAGCCTTTGCTGTGAATGTATTCTGGGAAGACACGAGGAGTTTCTGCTTTGGAGCAGTCTGAGGCTCCCTGCAGCTGGGACACATCCCCACCAGAGAGGGGCCCAGGCTGCAGCCCCTGGCCTGCAGCAGGGACACTGCTCACCCACAGATGCTGCCTGGGGAGAGGCACGTCCCTCACTGACAGCAGGGAGGGCTCCAGAGCTGTCAGGACCCCTCTGTGCACTGAGCTGTTTCCTGCTTGGGATCAACATCAGAGGTGACATCTGCTCACATCACTGAGGGCTTTTCATTTGATGTCAGCAAACACTGGTCCAGGCCTTTGCTTCTCCACTCACCAGTGATAAGGGTTTTCATCCTGGCAGTATAAACTGTGTAAACTGTAAATTCTGCTCAAGTCACTAGAAAACTGTTACTGTGGGAAAACAACAGTAACTGCTACCTGACAATGTATTTCCATTTCTGTATTTTAGGCATCTCAGGATCACAGTGTCATTTTACAGGACCATTTGGGCAAATTTGCAAACCTGATGGTGTCGTCAGTCACCATGTCTGCATTGCACAAAGATTTTGACCCTTTGGCTTCAGGAGACATTGCAAGTCTTGCCAGTGCTAAAAAATACTGACTTGTATGACTAAGGGGTCAACTTTCACCAGAAGGTAAACCTTTCCTGGCATGACCCTAAAGGATGGATGAGGTAGCTGAGGGAGAACATTTAGGTGGTTTAAAAATAAATAAGAAAGAACAATTGGCCTATAATTAACATTTCCCAGACTGAACAGATGATCTTAGGCTGAATTATAGCATTACCTGTCTCTCTATTGCAGAGATTTAAACATTTAAGCCTATTGAATATATAAAGTAAAATGAAGGATGAATTTAACACAAAGTTTCATTTTTTTTCTGATAAGAATGTTGAGAATATGAATTTCACAGCTTTCTTTCCCAGCATTATCCATAAATATTTATAAAGTGGGAAGTATAGAAAATTACATGAGCCAGTTTTATGAAAATGATTCTTCATTAATATCCCAAGTATGTGGAGAAACTTTCAGTATTGATTTAGAGCTACATGCTAAGGGCTTTCCCTTTCACAAATGGGAGTCACTGGATTACTGTGGATTCCCAACCCTTTACTCTCTGACTGGAACAAGAACTTACAGATCAAATTTTCTTGTGTGGGCTTGTATAAGTGGATTGCAAAGTGCAAACAAACTCTATAGTTGTGTTGGTGCTCTTATGTCCTTTTTACATGCACCTCCAAAAAGATCATCAGTTCAGAAAATGGGTGCAAAGCAAGGGGAGGCTGTTCCACAGTTAGCTTGGTACAATGGAGAACAGAGATTCAGAACACACTGGCTGTTCCTGGATGATGCTCCGTGTGGTCCCTAATTCAAAGGTTAATAAGTCATATTTTGGTTTAGTTTAATCCACTTCACAAAGTTAACCAGCAAAACTGAAATACATTCCTGCTTGAGATTGTTTCCTCTAATGAGAAAGAAGCAAACAAGGTTTAAGGTAATGGATTCTGCAGCACACCAAAATGCTTTTCGTGCAAATACAGTATGTCAACACACAAACAGATCCAACCAATGAAATAACTTTTTTAGTTTAAATGGTATATGCACTTATATTAGATGCATTTACCTGTTCATTATCATCTTCATCACTGCTGAGTTTTAGATCATCCTCAAGCATTCTGAAAAAAAGGAGAAACAATACAGAATTACATGTAATGAATTAACTTTATGTACAATGGGCCAAATCTACACCTCAGCAAAGTCAAAGGAAAAAATCTCAGTTCAACAACAGCAAAATCAGACCTGAGGTAAGTAAACTGTTGAATAGTCCATGTATATATGTATTAGTGCTTCTGTATGATTCTAGGGAAGAATAAATGACTTTCAGACTAATCCATCATGAAGTTTGGCAGTCAGCTGCTCGTTCATGTCCTCTTTTATTTCCACATTGTCTCATAGGAATTAGTCCATATACATCTGCAAATGTTTCTAAATCAGAAGAGAAATTCAGCTCTGAGACTGCTAAAACTGGAGAAAAAGTTGTCCACGTTTTATTCTCAGTTTGGGGCACCACGAATTTCCTTTCTGGAACCTTATCAAACTGAGAATGCAAAGTGGGTAACAGCAAGAAGAGGAGGTGCTTGTTTGAGGTTTGATGGGACCTCACAGTTCTTAGTGTCCAAAGGGAGACCAAACATCTTCCAAGCCAGGAACCTGCCAGTTCATACCCCCATTTTTGTTTATTTATTTACATTTTTACACAGGGAAATCTCACAGGCCTGTGCCTGGCCTTGTTTAAGGGGGAAGGAAGCTTCTAGAAGATGCTGCTGTCCCTATGCTTCCTTTGGCAAAAGAGTTGAATCGCAAATTACTGTATTAACACTGTATTGACTTCTTTCAATCCAAGACTTGGGTACAGGAAAATACATGGGGTAAGAAACCACGTTATTTGCTGCTACAGAGACAGAAAAGGTTTCTCATTTGGGGATCTCTCTACCTAGAAAGACGAGCAGCCACCAAATAAGCTCCTGTATAGTTTCCCATATATCCATGCTTTTATCTGAGCTGATAGTCAGCTGGGCACTCTTCTACCTCACACCCATCTTTTCACCTTGACAAATTGTCTTATCACGGGATGAATGAATTGGCACATCTCCCCCTGACCTGTGGCAGCAGCCATTAAAATAGATGATCTCCCTTTCTGCCAGCCCCAGCTCCTCTACCCACAGCAGGAGGCTTGCAAATTGCAATTATTGTTTCCTTTTTGCCTTGATGGGCCTGAAGTCTATGATTTTTTATTGTTAGCCTTTAAATAACTCTAGCAATCAATGGGTGTTCTCTTAGGAAGGTTTTTTGTTTGAAGACTACCAGTAAATCATGGAAGCCTCCTGACACATGGAATTTTAAAGAGGGGACAATAATCCCAATGTGGAAATTTTATAATATTTGAAGCCGTGTTGGTGCCCTTAAAAAGAAAAAAGTGAAGGAGATCTTTAAACTGGTTTGTGAGCCATCAGTCTTCCAGTGACCTCTGTTGTCGGGCAACCCAGTGGTTACAAAGTACCTGGACACATAACTATCAGTCATTAGCATCCTGATAAATGGCCAGTGCCTCCCTGTAATATGTGAACCCATAAAAGTACAACTGCAGCATGGATTAAAAAAGAAATCTTCTAAAAGTTAGTATTTGTGAGGGGTCGACCTTGTCTGGATGCCAGGTGCCCACCAAAGTTGCTCTATCTCTCCTCTCTTCATCTGGACAGGAGAGAGAAAATGTAACAGCAGGCTTGTGGGTTGAGAAAAGGACAGGGAGAGATCATTCAGCAATTACTGTCATGGGCAAAGCAGACTCGATTTGGGGAAATCAATTAGAAGTATTGCCAATGAAATCAGAGTAGGACAATGAGAAATAAAACCAAATGATAAAACACCTTTCCTCCACCCTTCCCTTCTTCCTGGGCTGGACTTCACTGACAATTTTCTCTGCCTCTCCCCTGACAGTGGTGCAGGGGAATGGGGATTATGGTCAGTTCATTGCACATTGTCTCTGCAGGTTCTTCCTCCTCAGGGGAAGGACTCCTCTCATGCTCCCCATCTTCTTCCAGCACGGGGTCAGCCCCTCAGGAACTTCATCAACTCCGCCTTCCTACAGATCGCAGCTCTTCAGGAACCATTCCAGAGCGTGTCCCCTCTGTGGGCACACCCTCCAGCACAGGCTGCTCCAGTGTGAGTCCCCCATGGGTCACAAGTCTGGCAGACAACCTGCTCCAGCGTGGGCTTCTCTCTCTACTGGGACACCTGTACAGTCTTCCCATGGGTCACAGCCTCCTTTGAGAACAGGAGCCCCCTGCTCTGGCGTGGGCCCCTCCCCGGGCTGCAGCAGGATCCCTGCTGCCAGGACCCCCCTGTGCTGCAGGGCACAGCTGCCCCTCCACGGGCAGCACCAGGGGCTGCAGGGGAACCTCTGCTCCGGCACCTGGGGCACCTCCTGCCCCTCCTCCTGCACTGCCCTGGCTGTCTGCAGGGCTCTTCCTCTCACAGACTCCTACTCCTCTCTTGCAGCTGCTGTTGCACAGCAGGTTTTTCCCTTTCTACAATCTGTTATGCCCGAGGCACTGCCACTGTCAGTGCTGGGCTCAGCCTGGCTGGTGGCAGGTCCAGGAGGATCCTGGAGGATGGCATTGGCTCTGCTGGAAATGGGGGAAGCTTCTGGCAGCTTCTCACAGAAGCCACCCCTGCAGCTCCCTGCTACCCAAACCTTGCCATTCAAACCCAATACTCAATTTTTCAGGGATTATTAATCTTTAGAGGCCTGGACTTTGGCGATGAACAGAAACTTTTAATGCTGTTTATCTAGCAGACACATTCATTTGTTTCCCCAGAGCCATTACTTGCTGTGCCATTCTCAATGTATCGCTGTGCCTTGATCTATCCACAGTCCCTGATTGTTATCTGCAAGTCTCATTACACCAGAAGGACAATACCCCCAGGAAACCAAGACCATTTTCATACAGGACTATATCATTCTGACTCTTAACTCTAATTCAATCCTACACTCCTGCTTTTAAACCTACATTTCACTTTAATGTGTAAATTATCCACTGCTTTAAAGAATCACTGGTAGATAATGCATTCTATTGCTATTTTTTAATGCAGATTTAAGTGGATATAATGCAAAGATCTTTTCATGAATGAAACCCAAAGGGTGGTATGTTTTCTTTCTTTCAGCTATTGGGTGGTTTTGGGTTTTTTTGTTTGTTGGTTTTTTGTTTTTTTTTTTTGGTGTTTTCTTTCTTTTTTTTTTTTTTTATAAGTGTTAAATTCCTTTTTGACATACCCTGGTAGAAATAAACCAAAAAGGACAAAAGAAATTCCATATTGGGTAAATGGAAAGAACAAAGAAGAAAACATAAAAAAGATAAATGGATACACTTACTAAACTAACCCCACAGCCATCTGAAATGGCTGATTAATAACTGTCCTCATACAGCCTATACTGCAGATACTTTCTAACAAGCACAGTAAGCACAAGACATGTTTATTGAATATTGAAAAATATAAAATTGATATAAAACATGATTAGTAGGAAGGACAACTGTTAGAGTTGGTTTCAGAGAAACTAAATTTGCAGGATTTATGAGTTCCCTTCAAGAGACTAATAGATGTTTAGACAACTAGAGAGAGGAAAAAAATTGGATTTTGGCATTTCTTTAGCAGTTCCAAGCTTATCACTTGGGGTATATAATTCTTCTTAGTCCATTCTGCTAAATGAAGAATATGTCATCCCATTCAGTTCCAAAACTCAAAGCTTAAACAACTAAACCAACCACCTTCTAAAATGCATCACACTCTTCTGGCAGATGGAATAATTAAAGAGAAACTGAGTATAGTATCAACCAGAAATAAATGGTAGCCAGAGAAGTGAGGAAATAAATTAGAAATACACACTACATGCAAATGTAGAATGCTGAACATTTCAAATAACCTGCTCCCAGAGAATGCTGGTTAGAAAAAGCAATATTTTACAGAACACAAAGGACTAGATGGTGTTCCACAATTTTAAAATGTGCTTAATATTCTGAAGACATGGGTCACAGTAGCTTGTACTGTTTAATGTTTCCATTAACTCTCATTTATAAGCAAGTACCATCTGATTGCACTCAAAGCTCAATAAGGACTTTTTAAGATTGCCAGCAACCTTAATTCAAGGTGACTATTTCACTATCATATCTAGAAAGGTATTTTAGCTTCAAAGCCTTGAGACAGAAGAGCTCTGTATCTACAGCTCTCCAAAACACTGTCTGGATGGTCTGAACGTGAAATGAGGCACTCTTGAGTGAGAGGTCCCTCTAAATACCCATATGATCTATTCTGCTCTATGTAATTGTTCACCTCAGAAGCACCCAGACTGGAGATTACAGAGTGTATTTGTTATTAAGATCAGGACAGCTATTAATAAAGGCCAATTTGGAGGCTATGTTAAAATTACAATGAATGCTGCCAATGAGGGCAAATCAAAGAAAAAACTGCCTGTATCAGAAAGCTACCTCCAGGGGTGTTATGAATTCATTTTATTTCCTATTCGTCTCTGACCCAGCTGACACTATTGTTGAATATACATGTACTTGTTTGTCTTTTCATCCATAGCTAATGCAAAACACCACTTTAGGGAAAGAATAGGATTAAGTAGGATTTTTTATTTCATTATTAGAGCAATGCCATTTACTATAACAGTTGAAGTTGTGTCAGCACATTTATTATAATCTACAATTTTCAGAGGTTTGTAATTTGGAATGTGAAATTATTGCAAAGCAGAAATGTTGGGATAAAGCAACACATTTATCTGTGGTGTAAGTAGGGGCAATCTCATTGACTGACTACAATACCCACTTCCTTCAGGGATGAATTTGCTCCCAAAGCAGATTGTTCCTACTTTACAAATTTAGCTAGACAAATGGCTGAACAAGGGCTTTATTAGGATGGGTTCTGTAAAAGTCACACTAGAAATAGTAAGAACATGAACACTGAAATGGGACTAGTAGCCCATCCTGACTTTTGAGTTCAGTGCATGTTTTGTGCACATCAGACCTGCTGATTTGGGATCCTCTCAACAAGCAGGTGAGAGTTTGGAGACATGAGATAATTCACCCCCTGAAAAAGCACTACCACAGTATTACTC